AATTTTCCATAGTCGGTCATAACTGTCAGCATTTCTGTCAGTTTCTGTACTGTTGTCTGCAAAATGTAGAAAACGAAGAATGTGAAGAAAATGGTCGCGTTTCATTGTGTTAGAGTAGAAAGGTGTGGCAAATTGTTCAGCAGTCGACCAGTAGTCCTTTAGTGTGTCTCTAATGTCATGTCCCATTTGAATGATTATTCCTAGAAACAGAAACATCTCGGATTCAGTTACGTCAGGCCGCGGAGATGGTCCGTCTTCAAGTCTATCTAGGTACTGGTGATAGTACCTATTCGTCTCTTCCACCAGCAGATGGATAATCCCCGCAAAGTACAGCATGAAAACGCAGAGGGGTGGAATCCTTATTCACGTGTGGAGCTGCAGTGATATTTATCCACACAGCTACACCGGAATAATTATTCACACCTCTCTAGCCACACTGGTCTGGCGGTCCCCAAGTTGCCGACGAAGGTGATGACCCTTCGTCCGCGGAATCAGAATTCCAACTTGCTTCGCCACTGTCCGAATCGGTTGAATAGCAGTCCGAATCTGTGTCATTGAACAGCTGTTTTTCAATTTCAGTATCTTCCATACGACGTCGTTGTGTGGCCATGGTGAATTATACGGCTCTCTAGCAGTGAATGGTTTACTGCCAGCACAGTGCTTAGACCACGACCAGAAGCCATAAATCGCACCCACACATACAAAAATCTCATTCACGTCTTAGCTGAATATCTGCTTCAAAAATGGTTCATGATGTCATGGGTGGCTGACCTCATATTGCGATGTTTCAAAATCGTTACAAACACAATGGTTTGACTGCAATGAATGAACAAATGACCGATCTGGCAACACCATATTCTGAGAACATTCTCCTGTGTATTTCTAACAGAGAGATATTTCAGACGCCCACACTTATACCGACATGTCCCATACGATAAATAAGCTTCAACAAGAGGTAGGCATTGTATGTGAGGCCACCACAGGGACTTACACTGCTAAAACACATGGTGCAGAAAATGTATTACACTGCTAGAACGCATGGTGCAGAAAATGTATGAATTTCGGGATTTTTTTTTGGAATGAGTGTAACTTTTTTTACAGATATTAAAATCTGTAAATTAGAATATCTGATTCTATATTCTTTCTACATTAAAGGAGCGTTCATTTCGTTCGTTTATCATAAAAAATGTAGAAATTACACCATTTTCAGAAACATGCTTACAATTTCATCGCTCTAGAAGGGCGGGCATTTAAATAAACTCCATCCAGCTGCCCCTACCGGAAATTAAATGGCCCGTCCGATAAAGGTTAAGAGAGTGAATCATTTATTTATAAATAATGTAGGGCAGTTTGTAGATACAATTTGTTTGTATGGTACTGAACTTTACAGTACCCAACACCTTAGTAACCAAGGGTCACACTGGGGAGGACTTTGTATATAACATGACTACACAGTAAAAGACAAAAGAATGTTATGACACATTTGGGTTTTTTTCAGTGATTTTAGCCAAATGTTTCTGTAGTATTTTAAAGTTGGCCACAACTGTTTCTTAATCCTTTTCTGATCAACTTTTATTTATTTGTATCCTGTTATTTCAGTCTGTATAAATTGACACAGATGAGGAAGTTTTACGAAGTAATAACTTGAAATAAAGTTTGCCCGCATGTATGTGACTGAGATTTATGGACATTGCTGGGATTGTGCATGTGCACGTGCAAATGTGCATGCTTGCTCATGTTAGTACATTTCTGGCCCTTTCTCTCCCCATCCCCACCGAAATGCTCATATCCATCAGTTCTTCTTTTTAGCACAAGCTGCAAGAACTGTTTGAACACTCACTAAGGCTCTTCATAGGGCTGCACCATAGCTCAAGCGGTTAGTCGCTGGCTTCCCACCGCGGTGGCCCGGGTCTGGTCAAGTGGGATTTGTGGTGGACAAAGAAGCGATGGGGCAGGTTCTCTCCGAGTACTTCGGTTTCCCCTGCTAATCTTCATTCCACCAATTGCTCCACAATCACCCTCACCTATCATCTTGGACTGGTACAATAGGCCAAAAGTGCCTGCAGTACAAGGAACTTAGTCCCAGCCCACTAGCAATAAAAAAAAAGGCTCTTCATATAATTCACTCATGGAAACTGTTACCCACCAGTTGTTCACCTGCCATCAGAGTCCCTCAAGAGGTCCCTTCACTGAACAGCTGGCAACAGGTTTAGGCAAGTGCAAGGTCATGGTGCTCATTGATTCTAAAATTCCATGTGTTTTGAATAGGCTGTGCTTTGTGTATTCATTGCAGATGATTTTGTTGTGTCTTTAACATTGGTTTCAGAACTGGCGTAGTTACATACTGCATAGTGTTATGTTACTCAGTACTGTATCAGAGACATGTAAATATCACAGGTGATTCAGAGAAGGACAGTAATGGAGCTTTGGAAGATATGAAATTGAGTCTTGCATCGACATTTAACAACTGTACAGAGCACTGGAAAAACTACAGTGCGTACAATCAAGTGCGCACCGCGGCTGCAATTTGCCGTGAGTCATACCACCACAGAACGGATGCAACTCCTCCCCGCGACTGCAGTGCTCCTACGCCGATGGTTGCATAATCGGAACCCGAGGTTGCATTAAACAGTCAGTCTTTGTCTTGCTGTGGAAGTGGAGTGGAATGTTTACAGCTGTCGACAGACGGTGGAAATGAAGTTCACTATTAAACAGCGTGTGTTTATTGTCGAAACTATTGCAAGGAAAAACATTTACAGAAAATTCGCACGTAGGTTTCGTCAGAAATATCCTGACTCGCCAGTTCCCACAAAGTCGTGTGTAAACAGGCTTCTGAAAAAGTGGCGGGCCACAGG